TGAAAATAAATATACTGTTAAAAATAAAATGGAGCATCTACGCAAACATGGATATCCACTAAAAATAATGTTTAAAGTGATAAAAAAAAAAAACAGTGGTCAATGTGTCATGTTTTTCTTTTTGTTTAAACAGACTTCTCTCCAGTCTCAGAAATTCAATATGTAAAATCTTTCAATTTAATATTATCAACTTTAATCTGAAAAATCTATTAAAAAAAGAAAACAATTACAGTGATATAGAAATTTATTTTTTTTTTTTTTTTTTTTTTTTTTTTTGTTGCAAAAAAAAAAAATAGTTTCAGTAGAAAATAGGGTTTTGTGATTTTAAATATATTTTTAGCAATGATTTGTAATTTTAAGATGAGTTTTGGATTTATTATTATAAAATGTTTTTGGTTACGTGAATATATTTCTTTTGTTTCTTTGTTATTATATTTTGGCTGATCCATTTTATGGCAGCCAGTTACCAATTCTCTCAACATATTTAAAGAGATGTATAATAGATATTTGCCTGAAATAATGTCTCTATAATCTTCCTTTTTCAGTAGCTTGATCATACAGTTATTCAGTTGTATCTACAACATTCTTTTCATCCACACCCACAATGTCATCAGGGTATTCATTCTGAATAAAATAATCTTTATATAATGTTTTCAAATTGTCAATGTTTTTTTCATCAAACAATTTGGTGTTTTGAGTAGAATTTGGAAAAGTGTCGCCTGTAGTGCACAACTATAAGCACGTCATTCATTTATCACTGAACATTTAGAATATACAGTTCTTCAAGATCAGTTCTTGCTCTGATGCTTCCAATAGCACCCATAAAAGACAGATGAAAGTTGCATGATTTAGAAGAGATGTAAAACAAGGTAGAAATAGAGGAGAAATACTCATCAAGTTTTAAAAACTGACTACAACATGGAAAGACACTCAGAATGTTTCACTTGAAATGTACAAACAAAAGCTGTTGACAGTCATATGATAAAAAAAAGGCACTGATAAGTAATACTTAATGTCAGAATACATTTAATACTTTCCAGTCTCTTTTTTTATGTACTTGTAAATATAAAAAATCCATTTGTTACTTATTTCTCCTGAAGCATATATTGGGATTCTATACTATTCTATGGCTAAGGTTATGAACTGACCCTTTTTAAAAAAAAAATTCCTAAATTGTTGTCATCTTTAAAAAAATTCTTTGATTGCTAAGACAAAAAAAAATTGGAAACTATTTTCCTTTTTATTTTTATTGTAAATTTGAATTTGTAAAACTATTTATGATGCCCTTTTCTACTTGAAATTCATTTTGAACAGCTTTTTAGATTTCCTTATTGAAATACAACATATTAAATAAGTTTAAGTAACTATAAAAATAAAGATTTGTGGAAAAAGAAATGAGGCATGTTTATAATCTTTGACATCATAAATGTCAGCTACGCAGCAATATTTTTCAATGATTCCATTCAAAAATTGAATTACATTTTTATTTCCTTTGAACTGAAAGACTTTCTGTTAATATTAAAATGACTGTTTTTGATTTTTATAGTCAAATCTTTTGTCAGGAATTTTATCTGTTCTTTTTCTCTGATCTTTCTCCATGTAGATTTAGATTCTTATGAGATAATCATATAAATCTGTATTCTGACATTTATTCAATATTTTACAGGTTTAGTAAGCATATATTATTTGAAACTGATTCTTCTTTGTAATCATTGTGTCATCACTGAGTATATTTTTCTAATGGTTGTATTGCTTGAAACATTTGTTTACAACAATCACTCAAGAGAAAGTAGACATTAAAAATAAATGCTTCCTGATACACTTATTGATTTCTTGGACTCGATATTTAATTATCTATTGTGTTTACTGACAAAACTAATCCTTTTATGCTAAAATCATCCCTATTTTGCAGTATTTCTGCAGAAATTAGAACCTAAATAAAAATTACTCATCAGTTTCTGTATAAATTTCCTCTTTTGAATTAATGGAATAGTCTGTTTTTTCTTTTGATTTATTTTCATAATTTTCTAGCTTTTAGATTATTTGGAAAATATCATTTTTAACTATTTTGCAGATGCCTCATCCAAAAATTTAATTCACAATATTTTCAATGGATTAGTGGATGCCTACTAAACACTTTTTTTTATATACCGTTTTCAGGTATAAAAACTAGTTAATGAATATATCTTCTTTTTTAAATTTCTTTTATTTTCCAACTTTTAAATTCACAATAATTAAATAATTATTCAGCTCTCTCCTATACTGATTTTCTGGAACTGTGTACAAAATCCCATTTTTTTTTTTTTTTTTTTTTTTTTCCATAGATACCAGTATTTTCTTGAATCTTTTCCACTTTCATCATTTAATAAAATGTTAGTTAATATGAAGTGAAATTGGACCCATTTGTCCCTCAAAGTCCTGCCTGAATGCAAAACTTGACCCCAACTTTGCTATTAAATGAGAAACTAGAGCCCATATATGAAATCCACCTAATTTTTTTGCTCAATTCTGGAGTTTGCCCCCCCCCTTCCATTTCCTATCCTATGTGTTGCCTCCTTGATTTTCTGCAAGGTGCTTCTATTTATTGTAGATGGCGCTGCTATTGAGAAGACTAGGTTAGAGGAGAAACAGAGAGGCCATCCCATACCTTCCTGCAAGGTGCCTGGTAAATCTATCCTCTGCTGTTTGTTTTGATGCTACACTTCTCACAGCACCTACCATTCTGTGCATCATTGTCTTGTATTGTTTTGTAGACCTTCTCCTTGGCATTAGTCTACCAAAAAGTCCAAACCTCATATTACAAGAGAGCAGGAAAAAGAAAACCTTTATTGCCATTATTTCTAATTTATTTCACTTTATTTATTTTTTGTTTCCTTTACTATTTTTAATAAATTAGATTTCCTTCTTGTGTGAATCTTGGGTTCTTTTCAGTGGCTTTTGTTTATAGTCATTTTTAACATGCCTCATATTGGAAATATAAAATATTTACATTTAACACCATTAAGTCTTTTCAAGTTGCCGTATAGATGATTTTTTATTAACTGAATACAAATTACAAAATCACTCGTGAAAGAAATTAGATATTACATGCGATAAATTTAATATCTACCTCTTACTTTAATGTACCTTTAAGTAGAGAAATAGATTTCTGATATCCTTGAAGGTTTTCAATTGTTAAATATTTTTCTTGTAACATTAAAAAGATTAAATGCTGTTAAAAAGTATTTAAAAATTATTCAAAGTATGAGAGGTAAAGTTAAAAGGGGAAAAAAAAATAATCATTTTTTTCCGTTTATGGTTAATCAATTTTTTTTTTTTTTTTCTGGTGATGTTAAAAATGTTTTATTTTGATGAAATCATTAAAACTAAATGTGAAAACCAAAAATCCAATTTGTATATTTCATATTCCTTCGGTCACATCATGTCTCAGTTAAAAAAAAAAAAAAAACTCATAATCAAAACTTTCATTCATTGAACAAGTTTAACTTTTCAGCCTAAATTTTGATTTTAATTTTGCTTTGGGTTGATATAATTTCCAAATTCCTCTCTACAACATCAAAATGGCAAAATAATACCTTTTGCAATTATGATAGAAACAAATAAATTTAAAACATTTTTCAGTTTCAAAAGTTTTTTTTTCACTTGTTCTCATATTGCAAACATAATTTTAATTTATACTGGAAATCTTAATCTTTTTCAAAAATGATATACATATTGTAGCAAAAAGAAAATAAATTCATAAAAGTATTATCTGTACTCAAGTAAAAAAAAAAAAAAAAATGCATAATTTAGAAACATTGTCATCAGTTCTTAATCTTTACTCAATTTTCCATAACATTTATTGACCCGATATTGTAGTATCTATTTTCTATACTTTGGATGGGCCTTAATGCTGTTAAAAATTCAGATGAGTTATGTAATATGAGACGTGGAAAAAATTATTTTTTACTTAATGTTATTTTCCACAGCCCACTATCCTAATCAATATCTGGTTATATTTTTTTTCTGCCATGATTGCCTCCCCTGAGTTGCACATGAGACTGTAGATACCCTTAAGTGTATGTATGTTGTGATCTTTTGAATCTTAAAATTTCTTCCTGTTACTATTATAAACTATCACTTCATTCTAGAAAATGCATGTCTCTGTGTCTGTCTACTAGTTGAGTTCAGAACTGTGCATGAGAAATTTAGATTTATGAAAAGCATTAATGCATATTTATTATCAATAATATTGTTTTTCCTTCACCCAACATTAATCTGTTTCAACAAAGAAAAATATATAAAATTACTTATAATAAATAACCTACCAGTTGACATAGAGGCATATCTGTCTTCTTTTATATGTGTATTGTTTTTAATAAGTTATTTCCTGCGAAAGTCACACACACAGTTCTTTTTTCATTTATGTGGTTGGTTCAGATTAATTTTTTCATCTTTTTTTTTTTTTTTTTTTGCTTAATGCTATTTACCCTTCAGCCAAATTAAGTGAAATTAATCCGAACTAACTATGTAGTCATTGAACCCCCTCCTCATGTAACATTATTAAAACCAGAACTGATTATTCATTCAATATTTCAAGTGATTGTTTGATGATAGATTTTACAGAATAAAAATATCTGATGTTCAGAACCTGTTTTAGTCACTAAATAGTATTTTTAGTGGCCTACTGATTAAGGTAATGAATATATAATCCAGTCACACTTACTTGTCATTACCTGAAGAAATCATTTTCCCTCATTTCAAATTACATATTGTCACAAAGAAAATTTCAAATTGTCCTTATTCTAACAAATTCATGATCTCTGGTTAATTCTCATTAAGTTTGCATTGTATTTAATAGCAGCTGTGTCTCCTGTTGAGAAATCTGAAAACCTTAATGGAATCTGACACTGGTTTTAATACAGAAATTAAAATAGCAACGCACGTGTGTGTGAAACCAGTGTGTTAGTTAAATGATGTACAGTGATGTATACTTAGTGTATTTGCTTCTTTCTTTCCAGATACTGCTGCCTTGGAGAAGAACCGATTAGAGGAGAAACAAAGGTCAGCTCGAAGAGATCGGAAGAAGAAAAAAGAAGAATGGACTCCAGTGTAAGTTTCTTAACTTGCTCCCCCACTCCCCGATAGTGTTTCTTAGCCATGAAAGAGAGATTCTGAGTACACACTTTCATAGCAAATACTAGTTTCTGTTTGGCAGCAATTCTTTTTCAATTTGTTTTTTTTTTTTTTTTTGTTAATGTGCCAATTCTATGAAGCATTTTGCTGGGAATTTTTATGTACATTTTATAAATGCAGAACAAAATAATTATGCCATGGAGAAAATTACTTGAAAAGTAAGTATGATATCAAATTGATGCTGTCGTAGTCGGGGTGGAAGAACTGAAGTAAATACTTACACTGACACTTGTATTTTGTATACAAGAGTATTTGATAGTTGAAAAAAAGATTATTAAAAAAAAAATTACATTTCACTTTTCAGATGGTTCCATTATGGTATCAATCCAACCACAGGCAAGGAAGACTGGATCTTCAACAAGGACTATTGGCAGCGAGACTGGTCAAGATGTCCAGATATTTTCTAATTTGTTCGCGATGCACCTAGTGGGGGTGGGGGACAATTCAAAGTGAGACAAAGTAATGAAATATGCAAACTTCATTAAAAAAAAAAAATATAATCCAAACTGGTTTTGGATTGTAAAACAGCACAGACCTTTGTCCCAGGACTAGTTAAACAGAAATGTTGTTGTACAGAGAGATCTTGGGAGATTTACTGGCTATTGCCTAAGTTCATTGCCCAATTCTATCCACTGACCTCACTCAGCCTCCTACTTGGAAAGATTAGAAGGGGGGGGGGATAACCTCAACAATGAATACTATTACTAATCCAGCAAATGTAATGATGTGCCTGGAGTGGCCTTGTCACTTTAGTATACCCATTGTGTATATAGAACATCTCTTGGAAGTGCACTCGATGTACATTGTGTATATAGAATGTTGAAAGGCTGAATGTGATTGGTTAACATTGACAAATTCTTTCTCCCAACATTCAGATTTGTTTTTTTTTCTCAAGTCCTTCAGTGGTTGTCAATATTGAAAGCTTTACAGCACCACCATCCAGCTCCAAAGAAAAAAAAAAAAAAAAAAAAAAAATCAATTAGTGACATTCAAATTCTGGTTTTTAGCCACTGTAATACTGTTTGTTTTTCCCCAGCTGCACTCGTAGAAAGGTTTTCTGTATCTGTATGCATACACATACCATATGATGTATGTAAGAATATCTGCAGGAAATCGAAAATATCTTAGACTCAAGTATTGTCATAGAACCAACGAGTAAACTTGTATAGTAAGCTCCTTGATTATTTCAGTTTGATTCCCCACACCAAATTGGACAAAAAAAATAGAAAATAGCCAAATAGGTTTATCCATCCTTTTATATCTGTGACTGGTTACTTTTGTTCACTAATTAATAAACTCATCACTGCTGTAAGGTTTTTTTTTTTTTACATGCGTATTTGTGGCATTTAGGATTTTCTCAGCCACTTTATATGGAATTCTGTTAAGTTTAAAAAAAAAAAAAAAAATTGCTTCTTTTGTATAGATTTGTGATTTTGTTAGATGAGAAAATTAGATCTCTTGACTTTTACATATTGTATTAGTGTGGGGAGAAACATGCACTGTAATAATTGCAACAGATGTAGGTAAAACGGCACACAGACACCTGATAGTTTATAGTAAGGAAACGTTCAATTTCTGTGTTTGTGTTTAGTTGTCATGTAAAGCACTATGATCACCTGTTGTGACAATAGCAGTAGACACACAAATAGCATACTGGTTATTTTATACAGAAATGTATTTACTAAAATTAAAAAACATCCACTATGCTAAACATGTGTATTACATATGACAAGAAAAAAAAAAAAAGTATATTTTAATGAGAAAATCATAAATATTCTGAAGAATAAAAAGAAAAAAAAATTTAATGGAAATATATTTTTTTTGATTACTTCAACATACCTCTCCACTCACCAGTGGAACGTTTACATTAATATCTAGACAGTTGCATGCAAATATTGTCAATATGAAGGAATGTAAAAATACTATTAAAAGCAGTCTTCAAATAAGAAATTGACTGATTTCATTCAGTTTTCTGTACTATGTGCGATGAAATTTAAAAACATCACAAGTTTATTCCTCAGAATCTGTAGACATCTATAAATTAGTACAAAGACTGTGTTTACATAGCACAGCATAGGTAGTTTCTAGATGGAATACCTCTACTAAATTAGGTAAATTTCACCAAAAGAAAAACCAGCTTATCTTTTTGCAGGGAGAATTATATATTCTGGAAATTAGAACCGTTTATGTTCATTTTTAACCTTCAGTACTGTTTGCATCTTCTCAGCCAGAAAGTTTTTTTTTTTTTTCTCTCACTGCAAATGAATATTAATGAACAAGAGTATGTTTGAATGTTGTAGTTGTGTTATGTTGTACCATAGCAACAGCAAAAACTACCTTGACTGTAATCAAGAATTAGCAACCATCATATGCTCTGGCAGAGCAAGTAATTCTCGTGAATAATAAGACAAAGTGCTAAAGGTTAAGATCAATACACACTAATATACTTTTCTATGCAAAGTCTCATGAGTTTTATTTGTGTGAAAATAATGTGGTTTACTGGGAAAAATGCCAAAGGAGAGAATTTGGTAAGAATTAAGACATTTTATATTGATCTTCACCAGAAACAGCCAAAATAAAAAGCTGTATGCTACCATTTTTATTTTTTTTTTGTTTAATAGTGTTTTTATTTACTATTTGGATTTGTGCAACATTACAACTGGACTCATTTTTTTTATGAAGATGATTACATAGAAATCTGGAAATGCATTTAAATTTGCAGGAGGAAAGAGTTTAACAAAAGCAAACCTTTATTTCTGCAGAAGATATATTTCACAAGACAAAGGTCATGAGAAATGTTAAGCAAATAAAAAAATTTCATTCTAATCAAGAATCCAGCTAACATTGAACTATCTGGACATTCATAATAGTCAGGTTTAAGGACAAAAGGATCAAATTGGATTACCAATTGAAGAAATTATCTTGTAATTCTTTTAATAAAATCAGGTTTCTAATTATCAGTTTCTAATTATCACATTCTAAATATGCACCACAATTTCAAATTTTCATGAGGAAAAAAAAAAAAAAAAAACTGATTAACCAATTTTCAAATAAATAAAATTGAATTTTGTCTGTGTTTTTCATTTGTATGTAAATTTAAGAAAGTGATAAATCTTTGTCACTGGAGTTGAAAACAGATGACAACATTTTTCAAATGTTTTACTTATCTACAAAATCCTTAAAAGGTCAGGGATCAATATGAACAGGTCCCTTTAAAAAAATTCTGACAAATGCCTTTAACAATCTGCAAAAATCCTCCCTTGCCATTTTTTTTTTTCCCCAGTGATTCACCATTGATTAAATACTAAAGTATTGAATGCAAACAAACAAAGCAATGAGGTTTAAAAATTGTTTATTCAATGCAAGTACAGGAAGTGAAGGGGGAAAAGACCCTTAGTTTTAAAAGTTTATTTTTTAAAATACAGTTCAGAATTACAAAAAGAACTGGATTACAAGTTCCCATTAGTTTCACTTTAATTTCCAGGATTTAATGCTGAAATAAAAATAATTTCAAGATCAATGAAACATTTGTTTTAAAAGAAAATGTATATTTTTAATTTCGAGAAAACAGTAATTTATTTTATTTTTTTTTTTTACTTAGAATATTCAAAATTTCAAACAAAGTCTAATCTCTTTAAAAAGAGGTACAAGTAACAGAAAATAAAGGGTGGGGGGCTAACAATACAAAAAGTCTTACTTTGATGTGATGTGTTCAAGTTCTTTCTCAAGAATTTCTTTCTTAGCCAACTTCATCTCCTGTTAAGAGAAAAATTAATTCAGAATCTGCACTAAACAAAAATCCTTTTGAAATGCAACTGTCTTTCCAAAAAAAAAAAAAAAAAATTATTTTTTGTTGCTGCCAGTTGAGAAAATTTAACCAGGCTATTAAAAAAAAAAGTATTGGCTGTTAAAGACAAAATTCAAATTCATAAAAATGTGAATTCTAGACCAAGCAGTTAACAATACCTCATATTTATCCAGAACTGTGCCCTGGGCTTTCATTTCATTTAGTTTGGCAATTTGACGTAGTTTCTTTTCTATTCTTCGAGATTGTTTCTGAAGATCTTCCATTGTAACAGCCTAACAAGATCAGGTTAGGAAAGAAGAAAAAGTTTTAAAATATCAAGCAAGTAAAACTCTTCAATTTCTTTTAATAACTAAACATTCTTAATGCAATTAACAAAATATACAGGATAAAGAACTAGCATAATCTGCATTGGTTGTTTTTTTTTAAATTATGCAAATTATTACAAAGAATGAAATACAGAAAATAACTTACTTTTGCAGTTTTATTAGATGAATTACATTCAATATTTTCTTTCTTTTTGAGTCCTACAAAAAATGTTTTTAAACTTTTACAATGAAAAATCTAAGCTGAGCAATTTAGGTAACTTTAAAAATTGACTGCAAATGTATTTTTTGTTATTAAATTAAAAAAATGTCAAGCTATCATGTTTTTTTTTATAAAATTCATTTATAATTCTGAGGCAAGAAATCTTAAAAATAATGAGGCATTATTTGATTTAGAGGTTTGAAAAAAAGTCTGTTCTTTATTCTCCTCCTCTTACGTACAATATGATATTGACTGAATGCCACAAGAACAGATGGTGTGTCATACTTTAAGAAAAAAGAAATAATACTGTATTCCTAACAAGATTAAGTGAATTAAAATAGAGTAGAAACATTTACCTCGCCCAACTCCAAGGGTGAAAGTGTTTTCAGTGGAAACAGCATTAACAGATACTGTAGTAGAATCTGACTTTTGCCATTGCTGAGCTCCAGCAACTTTGCTCAAACCAAAACCTCGACCAAAGGGAACATTATTGGATTGTGCAAAAGTGGAAATTTCTGCTTTCGACATACCATTTTGTTTTGGTAAAATTCCTGACAAGAGATTTTAAAAAATGTATTAAGTTAAAAATTTATAATAAAATCACACACACACTTATTATAAGCTGTTACATTGGAACATGCAAGTTACCACGACAAAAATGCATATTTGTTTCAACATATAGAGTATATTTGGAGGTGTGTGTGTGTGTGCAAATATATAGGAAAGAACGTTAGGTTAATAATCCAAAATTCTTTAGTATTTTTGTTTTTATTTTTAAAAACTGTGCTCAATACATAAGTAGAGCCTAAATTATAGTTATTTTTTAAAAAATGATTCCATCACTACATAAGAGTTCTCATGTTTCAAAAACAGGAGCTAAAAATTTCAATTTAATTTTAAAAATTAAATTGAATTAAAGTACCAAGCTCTGTTTCATCTTCAAGCGAAATTTTTGGAATAACTAATCTTGAATTTATGCAGCTTTAAAAGAATATTTATTTGTAATATTAATTACTATGGAAACGTCTGAAGCAATTATTTCAATAAGGGTTAACATTGTATCAACATTAGTTTTGGAAATAGGTCAAGTCAAGGTAGGGTCAGGGTGTCTATTTTAAAGCGAATGATGACATTATACACATATCGTCTAGTCTGTTTCAGCGACAGTTATTGGCATTATTGTTACGCTGTTAAATGTAAAGATTAGATAAAGATTCAGTGTTAGGACTCTCAATGGAAGAGATAATGCATTGGTATACCACAAATTTTATGTGGCATTTTTTTTCCAACGAGCACTCTTGAGGGTTTCTGAAATCACATTATTTTTGTCTAATTTTAGTTCAGGGTTTTTATTAATACAATTTTTGCATGCATGTTTTTCCAGGATTTAATTATGTTTTTTTATGATTCTTTCTAGATTTTCAGTGCAATTAATTTTAAGGTGTTTTTATTAAAGATCTTGCTAAGTCTGCTATTAGTAGTAAAGTGTTTTTCAATTAAAGCTAGGAATTTTTGTCCTAGCTTAATACTATCCATTTGGTTGAATGGAGGGGTATACTAAATCATTTTTCTTTTCCTGTTTTTCTTCTGGTTAGTACTATTGTTTCTATAATTGATGTTAGCATTTTTGTGTTTCTATAATTGATGTTAGCATTTTTGTATTTTTTAGAGCTATGTTGTAAAAATTACTGTTGGAATATTTCTTCATTAGCAGAGTTCATGCCAATTCTTTTCTCTATTGATGAGGGTATATGCTTAATTGTAGATGGAGAGTGGTTTGACCTAGGGTATACACACAAGAGGTTAGTGTTAGGTTTTCTGTAAGGTAGGTATATGTTGTTTGTTACGTTGAGGAGTTACGTCAAGGAAGTTTACCCTTTTCACTTTAGTTTTTAAATTTAGCTTTCTGAATTTACTATATATTATCTTTCTAATTTTATCTATTAAAATTTGTGGAACTCCTCATTACCATGAGCCCATCATCCCTGTATAGCCTGACATCCTTATGTCTAATTCATGGTGCGTGGTTAGATTGTATAGTATAAATAGACTGACAAGGTCAGATGACTCTGCAGAGTCTAAAGATCCCATGGTGATGTCAAAATGGTCATCAGTGGTTTTAATCCATTGGTCCCCATTATGAATAAGGACAAATTTTTTTGCACTAAGAATTATATTCATTTCTTCTTTTGTTAGGTCTGAATATACAGTAGCAAACTCCAGGGCAGTTGTGAATAGATCTCTTGATATTGACTGGTAATAATCCACAATATCGAACTGTATTAGGGTGCAATCAGGCTTATTGTTGATACTGGTAAACCAATTGAGGACTTCTTTGGTATTAATCCAAGGTGGTTTTTTAATTTTCTTAGTAATCCTTTCTAGGATTCCTTTGTTTATCTTTCCAATGTCGGGTTGGGTTTATTATTCTAGTAGTAGGGTCTTCCTCAAAATCTTGTTTGTGGTCCTTAAGAGTGATGTAGCATTCCTTTTCAGCAAGATTGCCTACTCTATCGCTTATTTTTAATTTATCAGTAATAATTTTACTAGTTTTGTTAATATTATCTACCATATTTATGTTGTCATTATAAGATTTTTTTATAAGTCCTTGTTAAATTTTTTTTTAATTAAGTTGTAGTCGTCTGCCGTCAATTTGTAGAAGTTTCCCATTTTGTCAGACTTTACCAGTATTTTATCACCATCGTTGATGCTTTTAACTATTTGGTTTAGATGTTTTTGGAAGTGGCTTTTCTTTTTATGAAAGGAGATGTTATTAATTATATTGAGTAGGTCCATTTCAAATTCATATAACTTTTTGTTAAATGGTGCTGCTTTTTTACTTTTAAAGCCATAAACTTCATGTTCTTTTTTTGCTAAGTTATTCCCTCAAAGGAAGAAAAATGCTTTCTATCTCATCGTTCTTATTAATTTCTCTGTTTTTCGCACAAGTTTAATGAAATAATTCTGTTTGTGTGTAGAATGTTCTTCAGAGAAATGCCAAAATTTACTTTTCTCATATTTTTAAAAATAGAGGTTCAAAGAAATGAATAAAACACCAAAAGTGAAATGGAAAATAATAAATGGAACAAGAACTTGTAAAACCTGGGATGACCCATGCCCTTTATGCCTACATGAAAAACTACACATTATTAAGTTTCTAAAAAAAATGAAAATTTATTAAACTATAGACACGAGTTAATGGTTTTTTTTGCTGACATCAACAAATTTTCACATTAAATAATTAGCTTAAAAATTTTAAAATTTCATAGTCTATTAAAAGGTTTAAAAGCTTGACCCAATTATAAGGTAAAAAACCATTTATGAAGTCATCAAAAAAACAAATTGTAGTTCAATATGACACAGTTATATACAAACAACCCTTTTAGAAGAAAAAAAAAATCTTTAGACATTTAACAGCGTAACAATAATGCCAATAACTCTGTCATTGAAACAGACTAGATGACGTGTATAATGAATGTCATCATTCACTTGATCTCTTTCCGAAACTAACATGTTGATACAATGTTAATCCTTACGCCCCTTATTGAAATAATTGCTTCAGCCGTTTCCATAGTAATTAATATTATGAACGAATATGCTTATAAAGCTGCATAAATTTCAAGATTAGTTATTCCAAAAATTTTGCTTGAAGATGAAACAGAGCTTGATACTTTAATTCAATTTTAATTTTTAAAATTAAATTGAAGTTTTTAGCTCTTGTTTTTGAAACAGAACTCTTATGTAGTGATGCAATCATTTTTAAAAAATAACATAAAATAAATAAAAGGTAACTAAAACTGTCCTTGTTTTTTATCGTATATGGGAAGAAGTGATCACTGACACAAAAATAAGTTGTGACATGTACGCAGTGGGGTGTGGTACACTGCTCTTGACCAGCTTGCATTGCCCATAGTGGCCGGCTACAGGTCCTGGATAATGAGACAGTGACAGCCTGCTTCTTGTTGCTTTCTCAATGCCACAACATACCCATATTTGATTGAGTGCTCACCAGTGATTAAAAGCATGCCAGATATTAGTTGTCACCACAGGACTGTCACTCATACCACAAGAGTACCTCTATACCCCTACAAGATCATGCTCTGTATTTTGTGAACCATTCAACAAGTGACGCACCATGAGCGGCTAACAACGGAACAAACCATCATTATGTACATGTTCTTGCAGCAGTTGGAACCAGCATTAGTTAATTACAAAGGCGTACTGTTACTCCACAACAATCCTAAGGCTTATGTGGCCAGGGATACTATATGGTAACTTGGCTTGGAGACACTGTGCCATCCACCTTACTCCTCAAACCTTGTGCCAACAGGATAACCAACTCTTCCATTCCCTGGACAAGCACCTTCAGGGGAAATACTTTACAAATGAGGCTGATACTCAGACTTCTGTGCATCCAAGACACACAATTTTTTTTTACCAGCAGATCATTGGGCCACTAGAGGTACATTGGCAAAAGGTTCTGGATGCTGATGGGGATTACTTTGAGAACTAATGGTAAGTCAAATGTTCTGTATACATCTCTTTTCCTGATAAATAAAAAAAACAAGGACTTTTTTTTGATTACCTTGTATGTATATATTTCATATCAACTCAAATTTTTTTGGAAATTCCCATGGGCACCATCTCAAGTCTTCATAAAACTTTTAGTATGTAGTACCTATGAGAAACTAAATGTCCTAAAATTTTAGTTTCCTTATTTCAGGAGTTATGACCCCTTGAATTTTTGTTGATTTCAAAATAGCACGATTTGCCAACATTTTGGTAGACTTATAATCTAATATATGAAGAAAACACTAGTTTTATTTTATTTTCTACACTTTCATAGACTGCTGGTTATAGGCTCCTAAAAATTGTTTTTTTTTTTTTTTTTGTGTTGCCATCAAAAATGATACACAGAAAAATTTTATTTTAAAATTTAAACCTATTTCCACCTTTAGAATCTATGGTAAAGTGAATTTAATATATTTTTACTTTTAGAATATTGAGTCTCAATCAAGGTTTTATTGTCTGACTGATTTTGATGTCATTCAGGCTGCAGCTCTAATCCAAAAATTGGACTGCTTCTCTCCATGCCATATGAATGGCTATATTTCCAATAGGATTTTTTTTCACTTTATAATACATATTTGTTAAAAACTTTTTTTTTTTGTTTTTTTTAGTATCATTGGATATTTTTAAATTTTGCTAAACTTAAAATTCTTATTTTCTGTACATTATTTTCAAAAGCAGATATCATAATTGAAAGTTTTTATTCAAAAAGAGCTGCTTCTTATCTACAACCCATCTTGATAAAAAAAATTTTTTTTGGTCTCAAGTAAAAATACAGGCTGTCAAAATTTATCACGTAACAAATTTTATATATTCCAGTTTTAAAATTTCTTCAACAGTGAAAACTACCTCCTGAAATAGTTTAGACACATTTCTATAACATGCAATAAACCAAAAAAAAAAAAAAAAATTATTCTATTTAATAAAATCATTAATTCTAAACAATCCCCCACAAAAAAAAAGTAAAAAAAAAAAAAAGGTG